ACAAACAAACAAATCATTTAAACATTTAAACACTTAGAAATACGCTCTATCAAACTGTATTGGAAGACTCAACTAAAGATAATAATAAACATTTACATAGCGCTGTTGTAACCATTGACCAGGCAGATGGAGGAAAAGTGTCACAGAAGCTGCTAGTTAAAGTGAAGAGTGATTTATTTTACACAAAGTGAAGAACAAAAATCCAGCAAAAAGGCGAAAGTGACAAAATAAAAATAAAGAAATATAAATTATTAAAAAGCACTTTACAGGATTGTTTAGTTAAAACAAGACAACGATCTGAACAAAATCTGTTACTAATGCACTCTCTCACATAACACAACCTACTCTCCTACAGCAACACACACTAATTGAAGGTTTGGAAAAATCATGATACATATATATATATCCATGCCTAATATCCGATGGCCAGAAAGTGATACATTTTTTTATTATTGGTTACAATTTTGGTATTCCAGAGACTGTTGTGTACACCATGATTTTATATAAAATACAAAAAAAAAAACAAGCAAATTTAAAAAACAAATATTATCTTAATTCAAATGAGTAGCGGCTTGGACCAGGAAACAGTATTCAATACATCACCGACACCAATATGTCACGACTTAACAAGTGGATACAGCAAAAAGAAAGAAATTTCCTTGATTTTTGCAAAGAAATGCTCTAGCATTTTCAGTGGCTTAAAGAAACTTTGGAGGACATGCACCGCAAGCATGTTCTTTTAAATGCATTCATGATACTGTTGAGACTGATACTGGCAATGAGCTCATCCAGCAAATGCCTGAAAGGAATAGTTGCTTTTTTTTCTTTGAGAGTGGGAGGGGCAAAATGCAGAGAACATTATAATGAACATATTTTAGGTTTTTTATTTTTCAAATATACACTTTTAAATAATCACGTGCAAAACGTTGGTACAGAACGGTTTTATACAAATACGGGTCTCATTACCTCCCTACTTAAAATCCATGCCATGTTTGACATGAAATGCTGATATGGATGTGAATTATTTGAATGGACAATACATACTACTGACAGGAAAATATCCTAAAATATTATTCATCAAAACATTTTCAACCATGTAAAATGCAGAGAAGGACTTCCTTAAATGATGGCGGCCTACATGTAACTGCTTAATCTCATGTGCCTGGAAATGATCACTCACTTAAAATAAAAATAACTTTTGCAGCTTGTTCAAACTACTTATTTAAAGGGAGTTGAAACAACACTATCCAGGGCTTTACATTAACACCCGCCAACCCGCCAAATGCGGGTAGATTTCAGCTTTGCCGGGTTAGACAACCGCTCCAAATAGCCACTTTGGCAGATTGGAAATAATTTTTACATTGTAGTTTTCTTAAAGCAGGTTCCGACAATAAGGATGGCCCAATATGCGTGCAAATTTGATCTTAGAGCCGAGAAGCAACAATGCTGAAAAAAATAACTGTGTATGCATGAGCAAAAGCAGGTGAATACCATATGAAAGGATGATTACTCGCGCGCACAGGTGATGTGATGCGCGACTTTTAAAAAACGCGTACACGCGCTCCCGTTTACTTGCGGGAAACAGCTGTGTAGAGGAAGCTCAAATGGTGCGATCGGTTCTCTTTGAAATAGACTGGACAAAAAGCGATGCTCGTGTAAGCAGCAAACCTTTTGTAAGCAGCAGCAGCAGTCACTGCTTTCGTTTGAATTATTCTCAGGCACGTGATCATCCTTTCATTATCACTCATGGTATGTTTCACCTGCTTTCTTTTGCTTACATTTATTTTGTTAATATGGTTTAATCATCATCCTTTGCAATAACATTGCTTTAATACGAGATTAACTTCCCATTTATGTGTAGTAACCGCTGATCTGGGACCTTTAGCCAGGACAGATTACTGTGCATATTTTAGATACATGACAATAGATCTTTTTAAATGTCAATTTAAAAAAAAAAAAAAATTTTTGTCGAATAAAAAGTGCATGTATACAGCTATATGTTTGCTTGTTTTGACACATTTAAAATGTGTGGCTAAGAATTTTTTTTTTTTTTTTTGGTGCGGTCAGAGATAAATTTGGCAAATCCTAAATTTTGAGCCCTGAAAAAAGTCATGTGTAATAAAAACCAATTGCAATGCGACACAACCTATTTGCTCATGCACAGTGAGCAAGCTCACACAAAACACACACAAACAGTGAAAAAAAATAAGGAGGCATGTGGAAACACAAGATCTAAATCAAGTCATTTTAGCATGTCAAAGTCACATTTATTAAAATATATTTTCCAAGCAACAAAATTGTGGCTAGTGAACATGGCAAGTGGCTAGTAATGTTGGAAATCTACTAGCCACTACTAGTGGCTGGTGATCAAAAAAGTTAATGTTAAGCCCTGACACTATCCACTCGGCACCGTTGTTCTGTGGCTGCCGTCACATCATCCAAGTGGATGCTGTACACTGGTGGTGGTGTGGAGAGAACCCCCTCATGATTGTAAAGCGCTTTGGATGTATACACAATAAATGCGCTATATAAATGCACATTCCATATCTTAAAGTTGTTTTTGGCACAACCTAATTGGTTTATGTTCACTTAAATCCACTTAAATTTGTAAAACGGTTAATTCAACGTAATCGGTTTGTGTTGGGACAACATAAAGAAATTGTGTGGAACCCTGCATTTTTTTACAGTGCTGAATCAGTGAATGCAAACTATAAAATTTGTTTTTACAGTAAACATTAAAAATCACCTTTTACTCCCAAGTAATTCCAAACCTTCAGAAGTTTCTTTGTTCTGCTGACCACTACAGATGGTATGCATGTACAAAACATTCAACATCCATAGTAGGAATGGATGCAAGTTTGCAATATGTGTAGGCTGAGTAAATAATGACAGGCAAACTCTCCCTTTATAATTAATATGTAAATATATAAAGCCATCTTTCTCAAACATTTTAGTCATACTGGTAGCTAGGGCTGCACGATTAATCGAGAAAAGATTGTGATCTTGATTCGACCCCTCACACAAACTTAATAAAGGCGGTAGGGCTGCATGATTCTGGCAAAAAATGTGAATTACAATTTTTTTTGCTTAAAATCAAGAGCACAATTTTCTCATGATTCTGTAGATGTAAAGTCAAGGTTAATATGATTAGCCTATTATTATTGTTAACAGTGTCAGTACAACTACTCTAACCTACACTGTAAAAAATTTCCAGGTTTTCACAACAAGTTACTGTAATTTTTCACAGTAAATTACATTAGTATCCCTTCACAGTATTTAACTGAAAAATTCACAGTAATATGTTGTATTCATAATTTTATTGTGAAATTACGGCAGGTAGTATGATTACAGCAAATTACTGTGAAAAAGACTATATATTTTGCACGTTAGTTATAGAAATTCAAACCTTTTTTTAATTCAACGTAGAAATGAATACAAATTAACTTTTAACAGATAATAACAGAATGTTATAGCCCCCAAAACGATTTGGTTACCAACATCTTTTTGGTTGTACTGCACCATTATTTAATTTTTTTTACAGTTAACATAGAATATGAAATAATATTATTAGATTAGAGTTTTAAACAACTACATTCTAGCATGAAAAACAGTTAAAACTTCATTTTCTGACGCATATAGAGCCATCGAAGACGGGGCAATTGTCCCAATGTCTAGCCTGAAGACAGGCGCCTCTCGGCGGATACATGAGTAATGAGCGCCGTTACCGCCTGGAGGTCATAGATCTCCGCTACCGGCAAAACACACTTAAAATTACACACAATCTTTACTAACAATCCACAGATTTTGGTTTTGAAGAACTACATTCTCGCATGAAAAAGTGTTAAAACTTTATTTCATTACATATTAAAAGCAATATTTATAATATTATGTGCCTTCTCATCCACCATTACAGCTTGATGCAGCTTGGTGCGAAATGAATCCTGGGAGGAAAAAATAATAATTCTTAATACACTCCAAACGAACTTTATTCTTATTGTTAAAATCAGAGATATGTAATATTTTGAATGGCGAAGAAAAAAATTAACTTTATATTTCAATGAATATATCACTTTTGCACTGCTTCGGTTCAGGACTCGTGTGACATTGAATCAGATTCAGATATTTTATCAGACGTGTTCATAAGCTCATAGTCATCAACATGCAATTTGTGTACAAACAGTACACGAACCAAGCAATATGATGAAATATTAATGAATTATATGTCTGCGTCTTACAATATTATGCAAAATGGAATCGGTTTCAGGCGAATTCGACTCTTTACTGTTCACTTAAAGGAGCCGATTCATTGAACAGAACTGACTCGACTCGACCGCAAACAAGCGCCATCACCACAGACAACGCCTGCGTCGTCTCTTCACCCAACGAATTCATCCTCGGTAAGTGTTAAAATGTGACTTTTGTCCGTTAAATGATTGTTGTATGTGTATTTCTGTATAGTGCATGTCATTTTACTGGAATTTACCGAGTACTTTGGTTGTACTCGCACATACAGGGTTTAAGCGCGCCTTTTTTTAAACAAGAAATTAACGACGCCAGATGGTGATTGTAGTGTTTTCTGAGGTAACATAGCATAACGTTAACGTTAGTTCCTGAAAAAAGAAAGGGAATTTTCTTTAATTAACTTCTTGTTAACTGCATTTTCTGTTTCAGTACAAGACTGAAGTAAAGGTGAAATGACTGTGACGTTAAGGTAAGCTCTGGCTTTCACTTAAGTTAACGTTACGGTTAGTCACCATCATGTACGTTAATTTTGTTCACTGTTACGTTAACGTTAAGTTAGTTAAATAAACTAAACTCATTATGAAACAAGTCTTAACTGTTTTATTAAATGAGGCTTGTAATACAATTCAGTTGTATTATTTTAAACTAACACAGTACATATTGTATATTTCTCACTGGTGTTAATGCATTGCTAACATTTACTAATGAGAACTAATTGTATAGTGTCACTAACTGTAGATTTTATTTTTTGGTGTTCAGGTGTACCTGATAATAGCTGAAGTGTGAGGTGATTCTGACCACACAAATATAACCTAAATTCATTTTCACAATCTAAACCTATATATACACATATATATATATATATATATATATATATATATATATATATATATATATATACATATATATATATATATATATTTATATATAGATTGTGTGTGTGTGTGTGTGTGTGTGTGTGTGCGCGCGTGTTAGGTTGAGTCTTATTCTACTCTTATTATATTCATATTTTTTTGCAGCCACAGCCACTGATGTTAAAACACTGATGCCAATCACCCCTCTCTTGATTATTAAAGGTAATGTTGAACCTTCCTCGTTTTTATTAGATTTTTAAATGTCAGGTTTTTCACAAATGTGTTGTGAGCAGTTTCTTGTACAAACTCTTTTTCTTCTTCCAGAAGTTCCACCAGTACTTCCAGTCGTAGTAAATATTAGACAAAGATTTTTTTAAACTATAGTTTTTATTTTTATTAGCAATTTTACTGGGCATGTCTGTTTGTTTGCTTGGTTTTTAATAGGCAGAGCATGGAATGTCAACTTTGTTTCTACAAACAAATGTAATTATTCACAAACATCTCTAATTTACTCTTTCTTTCCCCAGCAGTGCAACATCAAACAAACAGTCTTATTCCTTGGAGGGTCGAGTGGTCATTGGACCTCACCTGGATTTAACGACTGACTTTGGATCTGGTCTGAAACTGAAGTATGCTGAAGATGCCTTTTGCACTCTGGAATTTAAGGTAATGTCTACAATAAATATTGTAACTGAGGGCTTGTTTTCGGGGGGTTAAACAAGGAATGTATAGGAGCACAAGTCATGACTCCACTTGTCCCCTTGTTATAAAGGGCCGTGTTGCAGACTCAATTTGTTTGTCTGTGCTGGAGACCAGAGGGAAAGCTGTCTTTAAAAGGATGGGGCTCTTATACCATATGTGAAGTTACCTATTCAGGTGAGTGGATTACATACAAGTCATTGCAAATGCATAAATAGTGGGAATTTTTTACTGGGAAGCACAAATTAAGTGAAACTCAAAAAACGTTGAAAAATATTTGGAATATTTACCAAAAAAAACTTGATACACAAGTGCTGTATCACTTCAATCAAGTTTTTTGCAAAATTTTCCTAATATTCAAATCATGAAAAATTAGCTTGATGCAAGAAACATCCTGCTAGTATTCAAGAACAAGTGCTATGATGTACGTGTTCAATTTGCAATAAGTGTGAACCCAGCATTAGATTATAGTCTGTAAACAGAAGGTGTAAATCAGATCAACTGTTTTAAAATGCTCTGCCTAGGTCATTAAAACCACTATTTGTTGTTAGACTGTTCTTGAATGTGTGTTTGTGATGGAAATGTTTTTCAGATGTTTTTGTTTAAATGATTGCAGTTTGACTGAGCTACAGTATTGTCAGCATGTTCAAACTGAGCTAACAGTAATTTTGCTCTCTAGTGCAGCAGTAGTGTCCCAGTAGTGTTGTATGAAGCTAACTGTTTGTCTGCCCTTTTGCTTATAGGTGCTTTTTGGGCACCAGTTTGGAGATGGAAGACAGACGAAGTCAAAGAAGCAGAGAAGACACATCAACCAGCAAGTGTGTAAAATTATCAGGAAAATGATTCATGATATATATATATATATGAGAAAGGGAGAGCGCACTCTGAAGCACTGCTTTTTATATGTATGCTACATATGATGTCAGATTTTTTTGTTATTATGTTCTTAGGATTTTTTGAGGCTTCACCTTCACCTTTTGAAAGTTTTCTGAAATGCTTACACAGATGTCATTAAGCTGTTAAATAAATCTGTAAAATGTATGTGTGTTTGTTTTTATTTTGATTTTAGAGTCTTCTCAGATCACCCAAAAATGAAGATTCTGTCATCATTTACGCATTTTCAGGTTGTTTAGGCACAAGGGGGAATATTTGATATTTTTATTCCTGTGTTTAACAAAAAAATCATTTTTAACAGAGCTGGAACAACCTGAGAGTGAGTAAATCAAGATAGAATTTTCATTTTTGTGTGACCTAAATTTGCTTTGAAATTTTACAGCACCAAACTGTTAAATTACAGTAATCCGGGATATAACTGTAACTTTACAGTTAAATCAGGTATTTAAACTGCAACCTACTGCTAAATCACAGTAATCATATTGCAAATTCACAGTAAAATATAGTTAATTCTACAAGATAATACTGTGAAATCACAGTAACAGACTTTATTATCTACTGTAAAGTTACAATATATGGTTGTAATTTCACAATAATTTAATGTGACAAAACCACAGTAAATTACTGTGAACTACCTCACAATAATTTACTGTGAATTTACATACAGTAATTTACTGTGAAAGTAATGCAATTATTAGCCAGTAATTTACTGTGTATTTAAGGTCAAATTTTTTACAGTGTACATAATGTTAAATACAATGCAAGAGGGAATCCCATAATGACAAATGTCACATTTTACCAGTAAAAAAATGATCTGATAATATTGTCAATGACAATATATTGAGCAAATGTAATATTGATGATGATAATATTGAGCAAATGTCTCAAACATAATTATTTATTAACATAATTTTTTTATTAATTCACTTCAGATTTATGAACAGTTGTATTCTGATGTAATCACTTTATTGTGCACGACCAGGACAAATTTAAAGTCTATTTAAGTCCACTGTTCCATGTCTACACAAAATAGAGCACTTTAACCAACTTACACACATAGGCCTAATATCATAATAGATTTTTTTATCATATGTTTGAGAATAACAATCACAATAGCCTCTTCATGTCAACCTTTATTTTACATCTACAGCATTGTGAGAAAATTGTGATCTTTATTTTAAGCAAAAAAAAAAAAAAACTGCGATTCTCATTTAAGCCAGAATAGTGCAGCCTTATTGGTAACCCAAATGAATATGATAAATAACCGATATATTACATATCACCTAGCCATATCAGTGACATGAAGATACATATTCAACAATACAACACAGTGAAATAACTGTCATAGAATCTTAGATAACACTACCATGCCAACAGAGCACTGGTGAATTGAGCAGAACTTTCCATTGTGAGGAGATAAGCACTGATCTTATAACACCCACTATCAGCAGGTGTTAAGATGCTCCATTTCTATCGGTTTTTAGCTCTCAATACCATCTTCCATCAAACAACCCACACAACCACCTTCAAACCTCAGCTGAAGGCTTATCGGGGAAATGCACCAAACACAGTCTCGATCAGAACGGGTCCAGGAGCACTTCAGGAGCCGTTATCCACCGTGTGTGGCTCTCCGGGTGTAAAGCGGGTTCTCATTCTGGTACAGCAGATTAATTCTGTACGCCTCAGGAGACCCAATCTATCTTAGACAGACCCATTCCTCAGCCCCATCATTAAGCTTTGATCAGGATTCATTTTCTGCCTTGCTCTCATATCGAGACAGATAAGAGATAAAGACAGAGGGAAGTACAGAGAGAATAGAGAAACACAGACAGAAATCAGTGGCATTAAGGAGGGCTTGAAATATTCAGTGGAGTTATTAAAGAGCTATTTCCACCCCAAAAAAAATGAAAAATTGTCATCATTTACTCACCCTCATGCTGTTCCAAAGACTTTTAGTCATATTAGGAACTCAAATATTTTTAAGCAAATTTTAGACAGATTTTTGGCACTTCAAAACATTTGTACAGAGTTAAAAAAAAAATTATGATCTTTACGAATTTAAATGTAAGCCTTCTGAAGAGATGTGACTGCTTTATGATGGACAGATTCAATTTAGGGGTTATTCACAAACATTGATGAGAATATAAACGGAAGCTTAACTATACCTGCTTGGCATGCAACAACACCCTATCATTGGTTCTTGCAGGAGCGTACCATGTGACATGCAAGAATAAACCTGATTGGTTACCACATCACGCATGGATGAGTTTGTATTATGCAAATTTGTTTGTTGATCTATGTGTATATGCAATTAAAACCTTTATTCTCTAATAAGGCTGTGCAATATAAGCTAAAGTCTAAATTATTATTCCCGGTTTTAATTATTTATTTATATATATATATATATTTTTTTATCTTTGCCAAATGATGTTTAACAGAGCAAGGAAATTTTCACAGCAGGTCTGATAATATTTGTTTCTTCTGGAAAAAAAAGTCTTATTTGTTCTATTTTGGCTATAATCAAAGCAGTTTTAAATTTTTTTATAAATATTTTAAGGTCAAAATTATTAGCCACTTTAAGCGATGTTTTTTTTGATAGTTTACAGAACAAACCATCGTTATACAATAACTTGTCTAATTACCCTAACCTGCCTATTTAACCTAATTAACCTAGTTAAGCCTTTAAATGTCACTTTAAGCTGTATAAAAGTAACTTTAAAAAACCTAGTCAAATATTGTTTACTGTCATCATGGCAAAGATAAAATAAATCAGTTATTAGACACGAGTTATTAAAAGCTAACAATTCAGGGGGGTTTAAAATTCGGACTTGGATAAAAAAAAAAATCATACAAACAAAAACAAAAGTACACATAATAATAATATTAATAAATAAATATCAAAACTTTGCTCCACTTGTGTCGTTAAATCAACTTCTAAAACATCAAGAACAACATGTAAAAAAACTGAATGGAATTACAACTTACCATCTTACTTCTAGAACTGTCACAATAATCATTATTTATCGACTTAATCACACAACACATGGACATGACCTCAATCATTTTTTGTAATGCAATATACAGTTGAAGTCAAAATTATTAGCCCCCCGTTTATTTTTTCCCCAATTTCTATTTAACACAATAGTTTTAATAACTTATTTCTAATAACTGGTTTATTTTATCTTTGCCATGATGACAGTAAATAACATTTGACTAGATATTTTTCAAGACACTTCTATACAACTTAAAGTGACATTCAAAGGCTTAATAAGGTTAAATAGGTTAATCAGGCAGGTTAGGGTAATTAGGCAAGTTATTGTATAGTGATGGTTTGTTCTGTAGACTATCGGAAAAATATAGCTTAAAGGGAAAATTATTTTGACATTAAAATGGTTCTTAAAAAATTAAAAATTGCCTTTCTACCCGAAATAAAACAAATAAGACTTTTTCCAGAAGAAAACAAACATCATCAGATATGCTGTGAAAAATTCCTTAATCTGTTAAACATAATTTGGAAAATATTTAAAAAAAGAAAAGGTGGGCTAATAATTCTGACTTCAACTGTATACAACTTATACATAAAAAATATTCTGGCAACATTTTAGCTGATTGTGCAACATTTCTATCTCTATGGGAGTTGTCTCTGTCAGTATGGTTATAAAAACACTATTTACTATACTATAATATTACTATAGTATAGTTCATGTAGGATTCTGAGAACTGAAAGTAGATCTGCTAGCAGATCTTTTTATTAACATTTATTATTATTTATTTAGGATGTGTTTTCACATTCTGATTCTAATGCTTAATTATTCAATTGTAAAATTACTGTAATTATAATAAATATTCTTAAAAATAAAATATTATGTGTTCTTTGAGTACTTGCATTGTGATATTATATTGTTATTCTGGCATTATATAAAGCGTAGCATAAAATTATATTAAAATGACATTAATATTGATTATCACTAAATATTTTGATGCAATATTATACGACAAAACAGATATTGTGACAGGCCTACTGACTGCTAAGAGATAAAGAGATAAAGAATAAAAGATAAAGAAAGTGT